GACCCCCGGCTGGGACCCCCAGACTGGGACCCCCGGGCTGGGACCCCCGGCTGGGACCCCCGGTTGGGACCCCCAGACTGGGACCCCCGGGCTGGGACCCCCAAACTGGGACCCCCAGACTGGGACCAGCGTCAGCATCCCCTGCAGGGGAGAGACCCCCGGCTGGGACCCCCAAACTGGGACCCCCGGGCTGGGACCCCCAAACTGGGACTGACACCCCCGTGGGACTCCCAGGCTGGGACCCCCAAACTGGGACTGACACCCCCGTGGGACTCCCGGCTGGGACCCCCAAACTGGGACTGACACCCCCGTGGGACTCCCGGCTGGGACCAGCGTCAGCATCCCCTGCAGGGGAGAGACCCCCGGCTGGGACCCCCAAACTGGGACCCCCAGACTGGGACCCCCGGGCTGGGACCCCCAAACTGGGACTGACCCCCCGTGGGACCCCCGGGCTGGGACCCCCAAACTGGGACCCCCGGGCTGGGACCCCCGGGCTAGGACCCCCAAACTGGGACCAGCGTCAGCATGCCCTGCAGGGGAGAGACCCCCGGCTGGGACCCCCAGACTGGGACTGACCCCCGGCTGGGACCCCCAAAATGGGACCCCCAGACTGGGACCCCCGGCTGGGACCCCCAAACTGGGACCCCCGGGCTGGGACCCCCGGGCTGGGACCCCCAAACTGGGACTGACCCCCCCGTGGGACCCCCGGCTGGGACCCCCGGGCTGGGACCCCCGGCTGGGACCCCCAAACTGGGACTGACCCCCCATGGGACCCCCAAACTGGGACCAGCGTCAACATCCCCTGCAGGGGGGAGACCCCCGGCTGGGACCCCCAAACTGGGACCCCCGGGCTGGGACCCCCGGCTGGGACTCCCGGACTGGGACCCCCGACTGGGACCCCCAAACTGGGACTGACCCCCGTGGGACCCCCAGACTGGGACCCCCAAACTGGGACCCCCAAAGTGGGACCAGCATCAACATCCCCTGCAGGGGGGAGACCCCCGGCTGGGACCCCCAAACTGGGACTGACCCCCGTGGGACCCCCAGACTGGGACCCCCAAATTGGGACCCTTTAACCCCAAGTTTAACCCTTTAACCCCTAGTTTAACCCTTTAAGACCGAGTTTAACCCTTCCACCCGAGTTTAACCCTTTCACCCCGAGTTTAACCCTCGCACCCCAAGTTTAACCCTTTAATCCCTAGTTTAACCCTTCCACCCGAGTTTAACTCTTTCTAACCCCGAATTTAACCTTCCACCCCAAGTTTAACACTTTAAGCCCGAGTTTAACCCTTTAAGCCCGAGTTTAACCCTTCCACCCCAAGTTTAACCCTTTCCAACCCCGAGTTTCACCCTTTAAGCCCGAGTTTAACTCTTCCACCCCAAGTTTAACCCTTTAACCCCGAGTTTCACCCTTTAAGCCCGAGTTTCACCCTTTAAGCCCGAGTTTAACCCTTTAAGCCCGAGTTTAACCCTTCCACCCCGAGTTTAACCCTTTCTAACCCCGAGTTTAACCCTTCCACCCCTAGTTTAACCCTTTCTAACCCCGAATTTAACCCTTCCACCCCGAGTTTAACCCTTCCACCCCTAGTTTAACCCTTTCTAACCCCGTGTTTAACCCTTCCACCCGAGTTTAACCCTTTAACCCCTAGTTTAACCCTTCCACCCCGAGTTTAACCCTTCCACCCCGAGTTTAACCCTTTCTAACCCCGAGTTTAACCCTTCCACCCCGAGTTTCACCCTTTAAGCCCGAGTTTAACCCTTCCACCCGAATTTAACCCTTTCTAACCCCTAGTTTAACCCTTCCACCCCAAGTTTAACCCTTTAAGCCCGAGTTTAACCCTTTCTAACCCCGACTTTAACCCTTTCTAACCCCGAGTTTAATCCTTCCACCCCGAGTTTAACCCTTCCACCCGAGTTTAACCCTTTCTAACCTCTAGTTTAACCCTTCCACCCCGAGTTTCACCCTTTAAGCCCGAGTTTAACCCTTCCACCCCGAGTTTCACCCTTTAAGCCCGAGTTTAACCCTTTAAGCACCTCCTGCTGGAAGAGGCTCTGGCGGGCCCGCAGCGCCCGCAGCCGGGCCTGGCGCTGCTCGTGGCGCAGCTCGGCGGGCGGCGGCTCCAGGTACCCGATCAGGTCCCGCAGGCTCAGGATGACGGCGGCGATGGGCAGGGGGGGCGGCGGAGACCCCCGCGGCCGCCCCTGGAGGCTGTCCAGGCTCCTGGGGAGGGGGGTCAGACCACCAGGACCACCCCAACAGCACCCCCGAAACTGCCCAGCGCCTCCCGGATATCCCCATGGCCCCGCCGGGAACCCCAGGAGGTTCTGATGCCCCCAGGAACCCCCAGGAGGTTCTGATGCCCCCAGGAACCCCAGGAGGTTCTGATGCCCCCAGGAACCCCCAGGAGATTCTGATGCCCCCAGGACCCTCAGGAGGTTCTGATGCCCCCAGGAACCCCAGGAGGTTCTGACTCCCCACCCCAGGAACCCCAGGAGATTCTGATGCCCCCGGGACCCCCAGGAGGTTCTGATGCCCCCAGGAACCCCGGGAGGTTCTGATGCCCCCGGGACCCCCAGGAGGTTCTGATGCCCCCAGGAACCCCAGCAGGTTCTGATGCCCCCAGGAACCCCAGGAGGTTCTGACCCCCCACCCCAGGAACCCCAGGAGGTTCTGATGTCCCCAGGACCCCCAGGAGGTTCTGATGTCCCCAGGACCCCCAGGAGGTTCTGACTTCCCACCCCAGGAACCCCAGGAGGTTCTGATGCCCCCAGGAACCCCAGGAGTGTCTGACCCCCCACCCCAGGAACCCCAGGAGGTTCTGACTCCCCACCCCAGGGACCCCCAGGAGGTTCTGATGCCCCCAGGAACCCCAGGAGGTTCTGATGCCCCCAGGAACCCCAGGAGGTTCTGACTCCCCACCCACGGGACCCCCAGGAACCCCAAGAGGTTCTGACAGACCCAGAACCCGCCCCCCCAGGACCCTTCAGAAGGTTCTGATGCCCCCCAGAACTCCCAGGACCCCCAGACCTGATGAAGGCCCCGTAGAGCCCCGTGGTGCTGAAGACCATCCCCATGGCCCCCAGAAGGTTTTGAACCTCCCAGGAACCCCAGGAGGTTCTGACCCCCCCAGNACTGGGACCAGCGTCAGCATCCCCTGCAGGGGAGAGACCCCCGGCTGGGACCCCCAAACTGGGACTGACCCCCGTGGGACCCCCAAACTGGGACCCCCAGACTGGGACCCCCGGGCTGGGACCCCCGGGCTGGGACCCCCAGACTGGGACCAGCGTCAGCATCCCCTGCAGGGGGGAGACCCCCGGCTGGGACCCCCAGACTGGGACCCCCGGGCTGGGACCCCCAAACTGGGACCCCCAGACTGGGACCCCCGGCTGGGACCCCCAAACTGGGACTGACCCCCCCGTGGGACCCCCGGCTGGGACCCCCAAACTGGGACTGACCCCCCATGGGACCCCCAAACTGGGACCAGCATCAACATCCCCTGCAGGGGAGAGACCCCCGGGCTGGGACCCCCGGGCTGGGACCCCCAGACTGGGACCCCCGGTTGGGACCCCCGACTGGGACCCCCAGACTGGGACTGACCCCCGTGGGACCCCCAGACTGGGACCAGCGTCAGCATCCCCTGCAGGGGGGAGAGACCCCCGGCTGGGACCCCCGGCTGGGACCCCCAAACTGGGACTGAACCCCCATGGGACCCCCAGACTGGGACCAGTTTCAGCATCCCCTGCAGGGGGGAGAGACCCCCAGCTGGGACCCCCGGCTGGGACCCCCAGACTGGGACTGACCCCCATGGGACCCCCAAACTGGGACCAGCGTCAACATCCCCTGCAGGGGGGAGACCCCCGACTGGGACCCCCAGACTGGGACTGACCCCCGTGGGACCCCCAGACTGGGACCCCCAAACTGGGACCCCCAAACTGGGACCCTTTAACCCCAAGTTTAACTCTTTAACCCCTAGTTTAACCCTTTAAGCCCGAGTTTAACCCTTCCACCCGAGTTTAACCCTTTCTAACCCCGAGTTTAACCCTTTCACCCCTAGTTTAACCCTCGCACCCCGAGTTTAACCCTTTAAGCCCGAGTTTAACCCTTCCACCCCTAGTTTAACCCTTCCACCCGAGTTTAACCCTTTCTAACCCCGAATTTAACCCTTCCACCCCAAGTTTAACACTTTAAGCCCGAGTTTAACCCTTTAAGCCCGAGTTTCACCCTTTAAGCCCGAGTTTAACCCTTTAAGACCGAGTTTAACCCTTTAATCCCGAGTTTAACCCTTTCTAACCCCGAGTTTAACCCTTCCACCCCGAGTTTAACCCTTTAAGTCTGAGTTTAACCCTTTCTAACCCCGACTTTAACCCTTTCTAACCCCGACTTTAACCCTTCCACCCCGAGTTTCACCCTTTAAGCCCGAGTTTAACCCTTTAAGCACCTCCTGCTGGAAGAGGCTCTGGCGGGCCCGCAGCGCCCGCAGCCGGGCCTGGCGCTGCTCGTGGCGCAGCTCGGCGGGCGGCGGCTCCAGGTACCCGATCAGGTCCCGCAGGCTCAGGATGACGGCGGCGATGGGCAGGGGGGGCGGCGGAGACCCCCGCGGCCGCCCCTGGAGGCTGTCCAGGCTCCTGGGGAGGGGGGTCAGACCACCAGGACCACCCCAACAGCACCCCCGAAACTGCCCAGCGCCTCCCGGATATCCCCATGGCCCCGCCGGGAACCCCAGGAGGTTCTGATGCCCCCAGGAACCCCCAGGAGGTTCTGATGCCCCCAGGAACCCCAGGAGGTTCTGATGCCCCCAGGAACCCCCAGGAGATTCTGATGCCCCCAGGACCCTCAGGAGGTTCTGATGCCCCCAGGAACCCCAGGAGGTTCTGACTCCCCACCCCAGGAACCCCAGGAGATTCTGATGCCCCCGGGACCCCCAGGAGGTTCTGATGCCCCCAGGAACCCCGGGAGGTTCTGATGCCCCCGGGACCCCCAGGAGGTTCTGATGCCCCCAGGAACCCCAGCAGGTTCTGATGCCCCCAGGAACCCCAGGAGGTTCTGACCCCCCACCCCAGGAACCCCAGGAGGTTCTGATGTCCCCAGGACCCCCAGGAGGTTCTGATGTCCCCAGGACCCCCAGGAGGTTCTGACTTCCCACCCCAGGAACCCCAGGAGGTTCTGATGCCCCCAGGAACCCCAGGAGTGTCTGACCCCCCACCCCAGGAACCCCAGGAGGTTCTGACTCCCCACCCCAGGGACCCCCAGGAGGTTCTGATGCCCCCAGGAACCCCAGGAGGTTCTGATGCCCCCAGGAACCCCAGGAGGTTCTGACTCCCCACCCACGGGACCCCCAGGAACCCCAAGAGGTTCTGACAGACCCAGAACCCGCCCCCCCAGGACCCTTCAGAAGGTTCTGATGCCCCCCAGAACTCCCAGGACCCCCAGACCTGATGAAGGCCCCGTAGAGCCCCGTGGTGCTGAAGACCATCCCCATGGCCCCCAGAAGGTTTTGAACCTCCCAGGAACCCCAGGAGGTTCTGACCCCCCCAG